TTGCTGGCTGTAGCAGCGCTATAGCGCTGCTATAGCGCTGCACAGCAAAAACGCATAAAAAACGCACAGTCTGTGTGAGTGTTCGGAAAGCGAGTGCATTTTGTCACCCACTTTCGTCTCAGCAACTAGAAAAGCTGGAAGGCTGAAACTTTGGATATATATTCCAACCCCGTGTATCATCCTCCCGTTTTAAGATCTTCCCCCATATGCGCCCAGACCTCGCGCACGAGACCCCCAAAGAAATATGTTGGGGGAAAACGATTTCGCGAACCAGGCAATGTAGAAAGCTGAAACTCTACAGGGATATTCTCTATGCACGTGCGAAATAAAAATTTTAAACTCAACTCTCTAGCTTCCCAACCACAGCCCCAAGCAGCTCCTCAACCCAAAAATCGTTAGCAACTCGGACCTGAACCGCAATTGCGTATGCAAATGAACATGGATTTTTTGAAAAACCACCGTTCGAGCAATACTTTTAATTTTTCATGAACCGAAAATTTGCATATTTTCAAAAAATTTGCATTTGTCATTTTTCACAAAGGCCGAAAAAACGACGGACTTCATGCAAAAAAGCGGTAATCATGCACCTGGATGTCCATTCGGCTCTATAATGCACCACCTTCATCCCAACCGACGCCCTTCCTCCTGCATGCCGAAAAAGATCAAAGCACGGCCAATATGACCCAAGTGTTAGGCTGCAGCATAGGGATCATTCTTGCTAATAGCAACCTGCGAGTTTTGTGCCAAAACGCATGATTGCACCGGAGAGACTGGAGCGTTCCAGCCTGGGTTATTTATGCAAAGCGTATAGTGATTTACAGTAGCGAACGCAGAAGGCAGATGTAAAGTAATAACTATTCATACAGTTAACGACATGATTTATTTAAGCTTAGTTCAAAAAAGCGTGATCACACCAGCAAACCTAGTGCGCTCCAGTCAGGGTTTACATGAAGTCCGGTCCTTTTTCCGATGAGTGCTCGTTCATTAATAATATGCGAATCTGAAGGAATTCGAATTAGGATTGTGAAATCTGCAAAATTCACTCGCTTTTGATTTTGGGACAAAATTGAGTATTTCTCTTGTTCGCTTGAAAGAAATTTAGGTTCCAAACTGAATTAAGGCTGTACATGAATTTAGAATACCCCCGCAAAATTTCATCTTCGCAGCTTATCTGGTAAATTCGTTTACCAGATAAGCCACAAATACCTTTGAAATGCCCTAAGTAGTGGCACAAATGCAAATCGATACTCAGCTTAGCTATGCTATTTTCCATATGGACAACAAATATTCTAAGAAAATTTCAGCTACTGTTTTCTGGCTAATTTACGATTTGACACAGCGCCAACTGCGAACTTCGACGTGACTGCACGCGAGGTAATAAGCGTGTGCAGTTGCTGAATTTAAAGTCTTTAGCTCATGCATGCCCAAAGAATATCTCAGCAAGGTTAGCTTTCTATCTTTTCAGACTCACGAAATCGTTTCCCATCGGTGAAATTTGCATTTTCTTCCGGGGTTCTCTAAGCATGATCTAGGCGCGTATGAGCGAAAACTTTAAAACGAGAAGGTGGCATATCGGGTGGAGATATGCTCCCAAAGCTTCAGCCTCTCAGCTTTCGTGGTTGCTGAGTTGAAAGTTGACGACAAAGTTCACTCGTTTCCAAACACAAACACGAATGACCACCTCTCGATAATTTGGGTTTTTGCTTAATGTAGTAGCAAAGACGCATAAAAAGCGCTTAAATAGACTTTGAAGGATCTAAAACAATGCTAAGCAATAAATTTCCACAAGCACTAAAACTGCGACTTTGAATGAGTAGGCAGAGAAGTCGAAAGGTGTGCTGGGATGAGGAGGTGCTATGATCAGCGTGAAATTCCTGGTGAGAAAAACGCTGTGTTATCGTGCAAAACTTCGTCTGGGACTCGAGCTCCTCCAGTGCTAACTTAGACTATATTCACTGCCTCGTTTTTCAACAAGCTTATAAGATTTCTTGCATTGTTAGAGAAGCAGATGATCATTGATATTCATGCACACTTACGTTATTTGCTGTTTAGCTCAACGAGAGTCTAGAAATAACGCGAAATGAAGCAAGAGCAATTCTAGCTCTTCGAACTAGCGTTTATCAGGTTATTAAGAAGCAAACAGCGAAAGTAGGCAGCTCAGGTCCATTTCGTAAGCACAGCTCATTCACAGTGTGGCGACAGCAGCAAGATGCAGCAACTTGATTGTAATTGTAGGTTTCGTATCGATTAGAAACTGCCGACGAGCGGTAAATCTCACTGTGAAACTATCAATAGTTCAGTACGATAGGGTAAATTTAAACCCAATCGCAAGCTAAGAATAATCTGAATACGGTGCTGCTGGAATTTATCTTTTCAAAACGGAATAGACGAGCCTTTTGAAATTTTGACTGGATGGATATTTCTCTTATTTCTCGGAACAACACTTTCGAAAATATCTTCAATTCGTAAGACGATAATTTGGCGTTTATGCATACTCTGTCATACACAGAATGTTTGCTGCCAGTCGAATTGGTGTGTTGCAAGCTGCTGTGGAGGAATTGATGACAGCTGCGTCTTGGTGAAGTAGACAAGGGCTGATCTTCTGATAAGTACAGTTCAGTTATTAATACAAAGTATTTCAGGCTTAAACATCAGCATAGTTGATTAATTTTCGATGCTTCTAAAAGTCTTTTTTTTCCGCATTTGCTATCCTGGCAATTAAAGATATTTTGTAAGCACCAAGATTGCTAAAGTAACCGTGTAAAATTCTCGCTGCTGAAACATAGCTGCATATGAGCGAAGCTATCAATGAATTTCAAGAAACCGCTATTAAACAGTTATCACAAGACATGTAATTCATTTGTAATTGGCCATAAATCCAGAATGAAATGGCTTAAAACGTTCCAACATTTCTTTCATCAGCTCTGTTTGCGGCAATATGGTCGTTCTGAAAAAAAAAACAAGTAAATATAAGTGTGGGGATTTATAAAATTTCAGATCACACTTTTCGAATTAACTATTCAACAGTGCTTTGGCCTAATATCTTTTTAGGCGTTTTGTGCTACAACA